GTAGTGTGTAGAGCCGGGGGCGCTAATTTTTGCCATTGAAATACAGGCGGCTAGGGCTTATGGTTTTCAACTATGCACTCAAATGACCATGTGCACTTTAGGTGTCTGAACTCACAGGATATTTTGTCTTACATTTAGTTGAATTAAACGATTGGTTGACCGCTTGAAGAACAGCTAAATACGTTTATTTGTTTTGGAACATGTCATGTGGAAATTCAACCGCCACTCAGTCATATGAAAGCAGAAATAAAGTAGTATTTGCTCTGATATATTTCTATTTGTTCTGTGCTTGTTCAGGATTTGTTGTGCGGATTTGCTGCCCCATTAAAACTCATTGAAGTCATGTGTTGTCTCCATACTGGTGGACACAAACGTGTTTGGTAATTCCCACTTTTTTGCATCGTAAGGAGTGTTCAAATTACTCAATACGTGCCACCTCGGAATGATCATTTTGCTTTCTCGTATATTAAGATGCCATGTGCAAAACACGTTAACCACGTGTTTGTGGGGGTAAAATTAAACAAAGGCTTGCATTTAGTTTGCATCACTACAACTTTGGTGAAACTCACTTGTTTTGTGCACGATATGTTAATTCATGCAAAAATAAAGAGGATCACTCGGAATGGTGGCGCGTGGGGGACACATGGCGGACTAATTTTCACCTACTTTGGGGCATTGTCAAAAGAATTTACAAAACACGTAAGAATCGCACTGCGCTATAAAGTGCACCAACATCTCAAATGAAGCACTCGGCTTTTGCTAGCTCCCAAAGTGATTCGCCTCTGGTGTTCTAGCTTTGAATATTACTGGCTACAAAATACCAGAACGAAAATTTTTGGTCGCGACGTGTGCCCGAACGGATCCCAGCATTTTCACTTACCCATCCATTAGCACGCGTGAATGTTTTCAAACCTGCAGACATTCACGATGAAAAAAACATGGGTTTCTCCGAAAAGGTTTAGTTTGGACACCCACTCATCTCTATCTCTATGGTTGAATACCTTCAACAGGCAGATTAAATAAAAAACTCCTTTCTGCAGGTGGTCGGAGTTCCAAAGTTCAACTCACATGAGGATCTCCGAAAGCTCAGTGTCATGCAGGACTAACGATTAGATACAGAAATTGCGTAAGTTAAAGCAAGCATTCCTCTGAATCAGTGTGATGTGCATTCACAAGAATTAGTCGAAATGGTTCACGCTTTGGATTTGTTCAGAATTATTTAGTGAGGTGGCTTTGCCTTCAAAGCTTTCCAACTGCCGCACACACTGATGAGTATCTCCAATGTCTCTGACATTACCGCTTTTTGGTCAACCTAGAGGCTCACGGTAGGTGGAATTTCGATTCTATATCTCATGACACTGCCTTGGGGTGAGATTGCTCAATAACTAGAGCGCGAATTAACCCGAACTCTGCATCACAGCTGCTGCCTGAGCAAGCAAGTGCTTCCTACGAACAACAAGGTATGTTACCGCTGAACGACGACAAATGCTATGACACTAATTCATATGCTTGCGGCCAAACGAGACGTTAAGAAGACCACTTTGCGAGAAACAGGCGGGCAGGAACCATTTTTATTGGATTACATTCTTTTGATATCCTTATTTATCTTGTAGCCGTCCATTCACCACATACGTGGCAGTACAGCTCACCCCCACTAGCCAGATCACGAGATATGTTTTTTCTTACACCCACAAATCACGCCACAAATCGTCACCAACTTGACTACATAGCTCACAGTTGAGCGCTATATCCCAAGACTCGCCTTCTATCCGTACACGTACTAACCACAACACACAAGGGTGACCGATCTGACGTCGATTGTCTACCATCCGATATGTGCATCAACAGGTCGTGTGCTGACACCCACACCCACACACAAACGTTTCTACATATAGGATAACAGCACAACAACACGACACAAACCAACACAGCCACACACGTTGCCCAACTCGGCGCTCCACTCTCGGATAGTCAGGAAATACGTGTGGCTGCCACGAAACCTGCATCTGGACACGCAGCAGGGTTCATCAACTTGTATCTGCAATACGCAAAGTCCCTTGTTCGCAAATACGACTGCTGCAATCAGTTTATTATCAAGCTGACATTGTTAGTGCTCCCCGTTTTTTCTGTTCGTTCAACTAATTTTCGGGTTCTAGTAGAGCATTAACAATCTTCCCAATCAAGTGCATCAAAGAGATACCCACGGAAAATTTGATGCTTCGCTAAGGCTGCGATTTGAACTTGTAAAATCAAATAACAGTTATTACTGCGTTGTGCAAGAAATTCGTACCGATGGCTTCTCAGTAATAACTGGGAGATCTAATGCGTTCGTTCGCCTTTTCCGGATAGTTATTTCATTGTGATCCAACACAGATATTGATGCCGGGGATTTCCACCAGATACACTCTGTATTTGGAATAGTTGTGCGCGATAAACCTTTGCAATATCCGTTTCTCCTTGTGGTGAAAGTGCATACACACTTCAAGCCTGGTATGAAATCCATCAAGTATACCAACCAATCTTTTGGTATTATTGTGAACTGTGCTATAGTCCTTGTTCTGACCCACAGAATTACCAAATCATCAAAGGATCGCTGCCTAAATACGTTCAGTCTCACCATGTGGAAATTTTCAAACGAAGTGACAAATCCGGTGGCAGTTTGAAAACATACGAAAATGGTTGTTTTTCGGTAAGCAACGTCAGGTTAACCTATGAGTCCTACCTCTACAAAATATGAATGATAATTGGATGAATTTGCTCAAGATTTGCTCGGTTGACGTCAGCCCTAGATTTCACTCCCGTTCAGTCCACAAGGTGTGGGCTAAATCATTGCATTTCAATTAGCGACCGACACATGAAGCCTTCATCCCGGAAGCCAACGCTATCACCTAGTGGTCACTGTGTTATGCAAGCGGCATTCTGCTGCCTAAGTCAGTCCTGGAGATTTCAGGCAGTAAATAGCTGGGCGACAAATTTTCCACGTTCATGGAACTTGTCAGGATCGGCGAACTGACAGAGATAAGCAAATAAATCTTACTGCTTCTGCAGCGATAATTTGTTGTTTTATGTCACTGAATGTTCAGAATTAATCTAAATGTGCTGCGCAGAAAAATCTCATTTGCCGTGTACGTTTCAGCTAAGTTTTCCAAGACGGACGCAGCTTAGTTCTGTTGTGGAATGTAGGTAGCTCGGGTGCACTGCTTGGTTGTTGGTCTGTTCGCCGAGCTTGGCAGTTGAACTGCAAACGTTTCATCGCCAATCGAAGCGACATCGTCAGTGCAGAGTTGACTGACGATGTCACCTCTATTGGTGATGAAACGTCTGCAATCCAACTGACAAGCTCGGTGAGCAGACCAAAAACCTAGCGTCATTGTCCGAAAGGATGGAGACCCGTTTAGTTTTCTATTGTGATTTGAGCAGAACGTTATCAAATGTGAAATTCAGTGTCCTGCTGGATTACACACTCGCTAATTTGACTGCTCATGACGTGCCAAATTGCATGTGGCAATTCACAGACAGTTACTAAATACAGTCATTCGATATACACGCATTGCTCAGCATGAATGGTCAGGTTAGTCCAACTGAATTTCTAAAAAGAAGAAAGAACACAGGCTTTGTGAGCTGTCGAAATTATGGTCCTAATATAGTTTGGCTCACAACGTTATTTGTCAAGCATTTGCAGATGAAAAACTCACCCGGGCAACAAAGCGAGAGTCTTGACGAAGGATTCTTCATGCTTTAGACAAGATAATTCATAATTGAACTCAGGCTTTTAATTGTTCTCTCTTATAAGACGATCAGAAGTGTAGAAAAGCGTCCGAATGCAGGTGCCCAAAAGACGCGATCATGAGTTAAAACAAGGGCGCACATATCCAGGGCTGCCAAATATCCGAAGAAAATGTATCCAATGTATAGGTTTGAGTGTTCGAAGTGTTTGTTGGTTAAAAAGTCAAGTTTTCAGCACAGCTCGCCTTGAAATTTGACCTAATTTTTATCTTTCACACTTATTTCTGCATGGCTCGAAGTGAACAACCTTTCTGATAATTAAATGTGTGAAGATTTAACGATCAGACAATCTGCTGAATTCTTCTGGGATAAAAAAATAAATTCTTTGTTATCTTCTTCAGAAGCATGTATTTTTAAGCAAATATCCGTGTTAGTCCGGTGTTGAATGAATGAAAATACGTAGTATATATGTTTTGTAGAAGTCAAAATTTAAGACAACTAATATCAAAACTTGTACGTTGTTTTACAGCTGTGCTATTTACCTTCCCGGGCGTAGAACGAGTGGCAATCTTCTGTGAGACAACAAGAAAAAAAAACATTTCAACATCAACCTTGAATGATGCAGACTGGTTAGTTGGACAAATTTTGGTGCACGCATGGTGTACGCTGTACACAGCAGTGAAATTTCAGAAGATTATTTCTTTATGAATTCAACTATTTTATCATTACAGTTTCAGACAAATCACTGCTGATTAATTTTTGTCGCGTTATAATGGGACAACAGGAGCATCCCTAAGATGATAACAATGTTCACGTAACCTTACTTACTTTTCCATTCCTCATTATCTGGCGAAACCCAGCCTGGAGTTGTTGATTTTCAAATGAAGTCAAAAAGAGTATGAGAAATGTTTGTGCGGGAATTTCGCTGTCGTGTTTTGCGGGTAACACAGAAACCGTGGCGTTAAAGTTAACCCATTAGCAGAGACGGCTGAAGAATGGCTCATTTGAAGGAGCCAGGCAGTCGAAATGCAATGGGATTTAAGCATGGATTTGCACGATGGTTGAAGTGGGTGTTAGTGTATTCCGCTCACTTAGTCTTGGTTGAATGCTTACTGATATTCCAAAGCCGATCTAAACCACTTGGTGTTCTAACAAAACTCAAAGAGAGTAGTCTAGTGAATGGAGAGATTGCCACTGGTAATCAGGAAATTGTGTCGAATGATGCCTAATAGAAGCGCGCTAAATCTTGCTCTAATGCAGTTTGCAATCATAGTGCGTGTTTGACTAAAACTATTCGGAAACATTCCCGAAGCCCTGCCCAATCGATTTTATAATTTTCGGCGGTGATTTCCAAACTTTGATTTCAAGCCTCAATGTGTACTAAGGGAAGAACGAGATGCCTCAATTAAAGTGAATTATCAAGCGTTCTTTGTAAGTGACGCGGGGCACGCGACGATCTGGATGCCTTATCATGGTGATTACGAGAACTTGCACAAAATTGCTTTCGTACGCATTTACGCATTGGGTATTGCACAACGAGGTTTCTTCTGATTTGTGTAATTGCAACAAGTTAACGATAATTAGGACTTGTTAGTTCGGGTGGAATAATGTCGCATTTGCATTACCCAGTCTAACTTCCCTTGCTTTTGTTTATTGCAAACTCTATGAAATTTTCACGACTACCAAACCGGGCATCTTTTATAGTGATGCGTTTTTTGTTTTACTTAGCACATCTGTAAAATTAGATAGAGGAACCTCACTTGGTTTTCGTAACAAACGAGCCTTGTAGATAAGTGATGGTGATAAACATGCAGATCTACATTATTTCGTTGAGAACTTAGGCAAGCATATTGTGAGACATTTCAGTGCAGTCTCCTGAAAGAGTCGGACATTTTAGTGTAACTCATGTGAATGTTTGTGACCATTAAAATGAGACTGCGGTACAAAACTGCTCATTCAGCTTTCAATACGAGTGGTCAACATCTAGTAAAATGTCAATCGAATAGGGGACTGCGAAACGGACATCTTTCTGTACGAATCCAAAAGTACTACTAGGAATATATCGACGTCCTGTGTGTTGGTTGGCAACGCTTACACGTCCCAGCGGATAACACATTGCAACGTCGAGGCAAACCATCAAAAATTATGTTAGAACGGTGGATTCGAACTTGAAAGTAGGATATGGGGATCAGAGGTTATTGAATCCGTTAGACTAGTTATACTAGCGCAAAAATCGGAATTTCTGCTGAGTAGAAATTAACCAAACCATTTCCATTGGTCCGGATCCAACTTAATACTGATTAAAGTTTAGCAAATGAATTCTGCATCTGAAGTCTGGGTATATGATCCGATCTGATGAAAGGTGTTTTGATATCGCTGAGCCTCACATGTCCAAATCTATTTTTATCGCACTTCGTTGACTTACTTTTACAAATCGGAATGTTCTCGATTTTCTCTAGGAATGGACAGATGGTTGCAACCCGTTTCTAGCTTTTACGATGGTGCAATATAAGTAATATAGGGGACTGCGAAACGGACATCTTTCTGTACGAATCCAAAAGTACTACTTACTAGGAATCGACGTCCTGTGTGTTGGTTGGCAACGCTTACACGTCCCAGCGGATAACACATTGCAACGTCGAGGCAAACCATCAAAAATTATGTTAGAACGGTGGATTCGAACTTGAAAGTAGGATATGGGGATCAGAGGTTATTGAATCCGTTAGACTAGTTATACTAGCGCAAAAATCGGAATTTCTGCTGAGTAGAAATTAACCAAACCATTTCCATTGGTCCGGATCCAACTTAATACTGATTAAAGTTTAGCAAATGAATTCTGCATCTGAAGTCTGGGTATATGATCCGATCTGATGAAAGGTGTTTTGATATCGCTGAGCCTCACATGTCCAAATCTATTTTTATCGCACTTCGTTGACTTACTTTTACAAATCGGAATGTTCTCGATTTTCTCTAGGAATGGACAGATGTTTGCAACCCGTTTCTAGCTTTTACGATGGTGCAATATAAGTAATAACTCTAAGGTACGCTACTTGACACTGGGAGATTAATTCGTAATAGCTATTTCATCTCTAAATCACACCATGCAAGCTAGAATCGGATCATAACGATACGTAATGGGGGCAATAGAAACAGTGATACTGTTGATGTTGGCAGCAATCTTGTACAATTGTGTCTACTTAATTGACCAGGTCTCCGAAGTAAGCGCGGCACTAGCTGCATCCTTCAGTGTGCCTGATGGGTTCTGCAATGTCCAGGAAAGACACAACCGATCATCAATTACGCAAGACGCCCTGACCTTGACGTGAGACAACATTTCAGTATTGTTTAATTTTCAGAATTGACCGACGGAGCATTGACTGCTTCGTGCATTGGCTCATCACATGAATAATGTGAATTTAATATCCTTTTTCTTCGGTGTTTTTGTCGGGGGGGGGGGGGGGGGG